TTTTCCCTCTATTCGAATCCCTATTAAGGAGCTGTTAGGTATCAGGGGGGAACATCCCTAAACCCCCCTAAACCCTAAACCCCAAACCTTTGGGGGGAACCAAGGCCTCGTTCAGGGCGCTGCCCACCTTGGTGGTCACGTCATACCTCAGCTGTCTCTCTGTGGGTAGTTTACGACTTAGTTGCTGAGTTCATAATCCCGAAAAAGTGTGCACTATTGGTTTTGTAGATTGTAGTATCCCAAAAAGTGTAAAGTGGACTCACTCAGCTAGTGTCGATTTCAACAGTCCCCAAATATTGTCTACAATTTTGGGGCTCCATATAAAGCAATAGGGAAAATTGTCTACAATTTTGGGGCTCCACATAAGGCAACGAGGGAAATGAAACATGATCACCTAGTTTAGGATTCCGGAGGCTTTTCTCAGTGTTTGACAGATACTCTCTTGGATCCCTGTAGCAACAACAAAATCTCAAAAGCTCCCTTCTTAGCAAAGAAAGCTAGAGCCCCCCCCCCAAAAAAAAAAAAAAAAAAAAAACTAATAATATAAAATCAAAAACAGATGCTTATACATACAAAAAAGGGGAGATGCAGAACTGCCCCCAGAGAAAAGAAAAACAAAACAAGTCGCAGCTTCGGCACTTGGTGTTGAGGTAGTCCGCGAAGTTGATTGCCTCCAGGGATGCGCTGGAGACGCCCTTCCTGGGCAGCTCACTGACGCAGTTTGGGCAGGGTGGGCTATTATGCCTGATAACCTCCTTAAAAGGGCCCTGGATTAGGGTTGACTATGGGGAGAATACCTTATATACCTTAAGACCCCTTAAAAAAGGCTATGAGGGTGGATTATGGGGATTCTAGGGCCTGATCGGCCATCCTGGTGTGCAGGGTTTTCGGGTTTGGCTTCGGGTTTTGGGGTGCTAGGGTGTTGGGGCGTTCTGGTCTTGAAGCCTTGGGTTAGAGTTGCGGTTTTGGTGTTTCGGGTCTTTCGGGTTGAAGCGTGGAGCATTGCTCCAACAAGGCATAATCAACCCTAAACCCTAAACCCTAAACCCTAAACCCTAAACCCTAAACCCTAAACCCTAAACCCTAAACCACAATCATCCAGCTGAGACCGTCTGAATGCCGTCCAAGCATCAGCACGGTGCCCACATCGGAGTCCTCCTCTGGATCGAAGGTTTAGGGTTTAGGGTTTAGGGTTTCGGGTTTCGGGTTTCGGGTTTAGGGTTTAGGGTTTAGGGGCTAACATGTGCCATCTGTAAATCTCTTACCGGCAGAGCATGGCAGAGTTGTAGACACGTGCCATAAGGAGGGGAAAGAGAAGCTCAAACAGCTGCACAAGCTTAGGCCGGCCGGCATTGAGCATCTTGAACGGATTGATGCTACATACAGGCCCTCTCTCGCAAAGCCCAAAATGATCGGCTTAACCAGAGCCCAAAGAAGCATTCAGAAGGGGGGGGGGGGGTGGCAAGGGTAGAGGTAGCAGTTTCATCCTAGGGGGCCGAACGCTCTTGCACCCCATACTTGAAGGTTCATGGGTACTTATCTGTAGCCTACCAACAGGACTTAAGGGACTTAAGCGGCTTATGCGATAATTGGGGTTAGAAGTACCCTGAACCTCCAAGTAGTACTCTCCTTCTTCGCCAAGTAGGAGGTCGCCACGAAGCCCGCGGCACCAATCCAGAAGCCGCCAAGTAGGAGGCCGGTAACTCCGCCCAAAACACCGGCAGTCGCAATGCTGTTCTCCTTAGTCACCTGCAGAGGGTTTAGGGTTTAGGGTTTAGGGTTGAGGGTCTAGGGTCTAAAGTTTAGGGGTTTATGGTTGACATGACTGTTCTTAAGGGGGAAAAAGATCATGATGCAGGGCAGATGCTAGAAGCTCGGGGACTGGATCGAGGTGCGTAGATGCTCGATTTCATCACTATAGTAGCAATTAGTACCCTAAGCACGAAGCGCCACACCCTAAACCCTAAACCCTAAAACCCAAAACCCTAAACCCTAAACCCTAAACTCTTGCGACCCGCCGAAGTTCTGAAGCTGCATGTTTGCCTCGCCTCTCTTCGGCTTTGCAAAGGTTCAGGAGTCATGTCGGCAAGGCGTGAATTTAGGCCTCCCCTAAACCCTAAACCCTAAACCCTAAACCCTAAACCCTAAACCCTAAACCCTAAACCCTAAACCCTTTAAACCCTAAACATCCTCAAGCCCCAAAACCTTCAACCAGAAACCCTGTTGGAAAAAAAACGCAGCACAGGCATCCCCCAAAACCCTGAACCCCTCAAGCGGGTGGTTCTTTCAATTTACGGCCTAGTACGGCACCCTTGCAAGAAGGACCCCCCAAAACGGGACCGTAATTCTGAGAAACCCTAGATCCTAAACCCTAGACCATCTACACCTTAAACCATCTAAACCTAAACCCGAAACCCGAACCCGAAACCCGAAACCCTAAACCCTAAGCCCTAAGCCCTAAACCCTAAACCCTAAACCCTAAACCCTAAACCCTAAACCCTAAACACAAGCTCACGACGCCCCAGACCTGGCCTTCACCAGGGCGACGGAGGAGCCGCCGGAGGTGGAGGCCTCGCACCCCTGAACCCTGAACCCTGAACCCTGACCCCTGACCCCTGACCCCTGAACCCTGAACCCTGAACCCTGAACCCTAAACCCTAAACCCTAAACCCTAAACCCTAAACCCTAAACCCTAAACCCTAAACCCTAAACCCTAACCCCTAAAACCTAAACCCTAAACCCTAAACCCTAAACCCTAAACCCTAAACCCTAAACCCTAAACCCTAAACCCTAAACCCTAAACCCTAAACCCTAAACCCTAAACCCTAAACCCTAAACCCTAAACCCTAAACCCTAAACCCTAAACTTAACCCTTTTCCAAGAGACTTCGCCCGCCTCGACTATATCCCCGTGGGCCAAGGCCGCCCTGCAAGCCCCCCCGTACTCGTGACAGCAAGGCCCCCTAAACCCTAAACCCTAAACCCTAAACCCTAAACCCTAAACCCTAAACCCTAAACCCTAAACCCTAAACCCTAAACCCCCACTCCCCCTGCACTCTTGACAGAAGGACGAGTGACTAGAGCAGGCGACGCGAAATCTCGGGCCCGCGCTTCAGGAATTACACTAGAGAGTATGAGAAAGTTGAAGCCCTAAACCCTAAACCCTAAGCCCTCAACCCTAAAGGAGATCACCCCCTGGAGTCCCAGACTGAGGCTTTCTTCGTTCCCTAAACTATACACCGCAAGTGAACCCTAACTAACCCCCAAGGACTGAGCAAAACCTCGAAACCCAGAACCTTCTATAGACACCACGAAAGCCGCTCCCAATGATCTCAGAGGAAGCCCCCCTAAACCCGAAACCCTAAACTCTAACCTGAAACCCAAAACCCCGACTAAACCCTAAACCCTAAACCCGAAACCCTAAACTCTGAACCCTAAACCCTAAACCCTAAACCCTAAACCCAAAACCCTAAACCCTAAACCCAAGTTGGAGGCCTCTGCGGCCCGCGGGGTCGCGTGGCTCCGGGAGGGCGCAAGGGCGCCGGTGAAGCAAAGCGTGGCGGGTACGACGAGGGCCTCGGGGATTTGGGGGGGGCTTACAGTTTACAGGGTTTGAGGGACCCTAAACCCTAAACCCTAAACCCTAAACCCTAAACCCTAAACCCTAAACTATAGGGTTTGAGGGTGTTGATGGGCTTTAGGGTGGGTTTAGGGTTTAGAATTTCTAAGGGTCATGAGGGGGCTGCGGGTTTAACAGGGTGTTAAAACAGGGTTGGTAGGGTGTTAACAGGGGCTTGTGCGGGTTTCTAAAGTGTTTGGGGGTTATGGGGGTTGAAGGTGTTGGTTGATAGTAGAGGGTTTTGATAATTTATAAGGGTTTCTGGGTTTTAGTGAATTTGAAAAAGAGGGGTGTACATTGAGGTTTTAATAGGGGCTTGCGGGGTTTTATGGTGTTTGGGGTGCGGCACTTGTCGTGGGACTCATGGTTCAGGACTTGGGGCTGAGGGCCTATAGGATTTAGCGAGAGCTGGGGGTCTGGGGTTTTCGGGTTTGGGGTTTAGGGTTCTAGGGTTCTAGGGTTTTAGGGTTTTAGGGTTCAGGGTTTAGGGTTTAGGGTTTGGGCTTACTGGAGCTCACGATGGAGGCTGCTTGTGGGGCTGAGGGGCCAAGAGCAGGGCGGCGCGAGCGGTGCGGCCTCGTGCGATAGCCATGGCTTCGGCAAAGGATGCGTCTACGTCGACTTCGGGCGTTGGAAACCTTTGGGCCTGAATGGCTTCCCACATCGCCCAAGCGATAGCAACAACAGTTCAAGGGTCCAGGGCTTCTGGGGAATTCCCTGCGCCCTGACCACCGAAAACCCTCACACTGAACAGCTCTTGGCACCCCAAACCCTGAACCCTCAGCCCTATGAACTCTGGGATTCTCGGAGCCCGTGTCATAACCCTAAACCCTGAACCCTAAACTCTAATCATGGTGATGTAAATCTTAAACCCTAAACCCTAAACCCCTGAGGCGGTAGTAGCTCAAGGACACACTGGGTCAGTTTTGGGCTAAAATCTAAACCCCTTTCTGTCACACGTCTCATCCTCAACTTTCCGAAACGCTGCCCCAAGCCGTAAACCCAGCTCCTCAGCTTGAACCCCTCAACCGTCAACCTCTCCTCTCAGCCAAATGCCCCATCAGAACCCCGTTTAGGGTTCAGGGTTTACCCTCCCCAGCGCCCCAAAAGGTCGAGCAAATCCCACCCCGTCCTCCGCAGAAGCACTCTCCAAATCCCAAAGCCCAACCCTAGAGTCACTTCGTATGCCCTCTCAACCTCATAAACCAGGGACCTTGAGTTGTTAGAGCCCCGGATATCGTTTTGTCAGTTTTCGAAATCATATAATATATGTATAGATGTATCGATCATTGCTAATTCCCTTTTAACCCCTATAAGCCTTGTACACCCTCAAGCCCTGTAAGCTCTAAACCCCGACACCGGAGGCCCTGCCCTTCCCAGTCCTCCGCAGGAGCAGCGCGCGGCCCAGGGACTTCAGGGCTTCCTTCTCTGGATGTGCTTTGGGGTTCTAGGGGTTTAGGGGTTTAGGGTTTAGGGGTTTAGGGGTTTAGGGGTTTAAGGGTTTTATGAGGGCTTCCTTCTCTGGATGTGCTTTGGGGTTCTCAAGGTTAGGGGTTTAGGGGTTTAGGGGGTTTAGGGGTTTAATTTAGGGGTTTAGGGGTTTAGGGGTTTAAGGGTTTTAGGGGTTTAGGGGTTTAGGGGTTTAGGGGTTTAGGGGTTTAGGGGTCCAGTTTGAGGGTGTAGGCTTAGGTGTTATGGGGGCTTAAACCCTAAACAAAAAAATCTGGTAATGCGGCTGGAAGTGCAGCGACTCGGGTTGCAGACCTCTCCTTCCCTGAATCTACACAGACGCCTAAACCCTAAACCCTACACCCTAGACCCTGAACCCTGAACCCTAAACCCTATAAACCCTAAACCCTAAACCCTAAACCCTAAACCCTAAACCCTAAACCCTAAACCCAAACCGCTTAGGGCTTTAGGGTTTCGAGCGCTTGCGGCTTGCAGGGCCTCGTCGCTGTGCAGCTCGAGATGTGCTAAGTCCTCTCGCGTGCTCTTTTGGCGGGGGGGAGGCCCTAAATCCTAAACCCTAAACCCTAAACCCTAAACCCTAAACCCTAAACCCTAAACCCTAAACCCTACCCCTTTCTGAAGGCCAAGGGGTGATTGGGCCCCTTCTGTGGCTGCTGCGTGTCCTTTGCGTCCGAAACCCAGGGAGTCCAGAGCATCAGCATTTAGCCCTGATTACAGGAGTTTTGCAGTAGGCTTCTGAAGATTCTCGCCTAGTCGGGGCGCAGTATGGTTCACTGAACCTGCCAACCCGGAACCCGAAACTCCAGACCCAACACCCTAAACTCTAAACCCTAAACCCGAAACCCTAAACCCGAAACCCTAAACCCTAAACCCTGAACCCTGAACCCGAAGCCAGTGCCAGGGGGAACCTTAGAACGAAACCCTGGTTGGGGTCCTCAGAATTCGACTGGCTCACTCTAAGCCCTAAACCCTAAACCCTAAACCCTAAACCCTAAACCCTAAACGAAATTCTCGAAGTTCTGGAGTCTGGAGGTCCAGGGCAGAATTCTGTTGGGTTTGGGGCCCTAGAAAAATGCCAAGTTGCTGGGTTGTGTAGGGTGTAGGTTTTAGTTTAGGCTTTAGGGCTTTTTTTTGGCACCCGACTAGCCAAAGCACGGCGGGGTCTCATGGTCGGTCTCAGGGTTTAGGGTTTAGGGTTTAGGGTTTAGGGTTTAGGGTTTAGGGTTTTAGAATGGAGGGTATACATGCCCAAACGCGGGGGGGAATAAGATGGGTTCTCCTATACCGCCTACCCCCGAACGGCCCTAACAACTGTCAACTCCCAGCCCAACAGCCCAGCACCCCAGCCTCAACCCAACCCTTTTCGCGCTTGTGTTCTTGAACCATCTCAAATTCCTTCTAGCTGACGGATACACGTTGAAGTCATTCCTCTCGGCATTGCCGTTTGGCTTGAAGTCGTTGGTCTTTGGATTGATCCTTGAGCTGGCGCGAGCTGGCAGCTGCCTTCCATGAGCATATCTCTGGGCACCTCATACCGGGGGCGCACCCTGCCTCACTTCACACCCCTAACCCAAGAAACCCTAAACCCTAATCGCGGGACCCTAGACCCTGAACTCTAAACCCTGAACCCTGAACCCTGAACCCTGAACCCTAGACCCTGGACCCTAAACCAAACCAACGTGCCTCGGCAAGGCGCACAAGCTCGGACGCGGCAAAAAGCCGCGGAGGAAAGAGGCCCTGAGACTTTCCGCATGAAGGGTTGGCTTAGGTTTAGGGTTGAGGGTTTAGGGCTTCGGGCTGAGGGTTTAGGGCTGAGGGTTTAGGGTTTATATAATATATAGCCTCTGGCGGATGTGGGGGGCCCCATGAAGGACAATTCCTCAGGTCCCAGGGAAGGTTTAGGGAAGGGTTCATCAGGGATCGAGGCCCGTAGGGCCTTAAACTGACTTGCCCGATACGCGATCGAGCTAGGATCTCGCTTAGAAGGTCAGGGCTCAAAACTTCTGAGAGTCTAAGAGTCTTCAGCCAAACTCATCAAACTCTGAGTTCTGAGTCACACTACGTAGGTCCGCTGGAAAATAAGGTTGTACTGTGTTGAGGCTGACTTGCCTATGAACCCGGGGGATTTCTGCCCCAAAGAGCCCCACCCGACACCGTGAACAGACAACCCTGAACCCTGACAACCCCCAAACCTTACACAACTTCCCCAGAAACCTTGGCACATACCAAAGACATCAGCTGCCAAGCCTCCTCAAGGTGTGGGCATAAAAAGGCGGAGGCTTGCCTATAAGCCCAAAACCCTAATTCCTAGTTGCTGAGTACCCTGGGCCAAAAAAGGTTAACCTTTTCAACTATGGTAGGAGTATATATATATATACATATACACATATATTATGTATATACACGTATATACCCCAAAAGGTTCACGGTTACCTACCCAGCCACTCAGCCTGGTCTATGCTGCGAAGGCACCTCGCCGTCTGAGCCGCGCAGGCGGCAGAGAAGTTTCTGCAGCAGCGGGACCTCGGGTTTGTGCTTTGGAGGCTCTAGGGTTGTGGGATTGAAGCTCAGGGTGTAGGGTCTAAACCCTCAACCCTGAATCTAAACCCATGGGCTGTGAGATTTGAGGGAAGTGTAGGGTGGTTAGGAGGGGGGGTGGAGGCTGTGGCACCACATGCTTGGACCACAGTTCTGTAGACCTTGCTTGTGTCAGTAGGCAAGTCTGCTCCAGGGGGTGGGACGAATGAAAATATCATGAGTCTGAGACCCTGGTGCTTACCGAAGGACATCTCCTTCGCACAGTCGCAGCCAATGCAGGACGTGGGAACAGATGTGTGGGTTGTGCATTTGGGCGGCAGACATGGCTCCCCCTGCAGATCATTGACAAGTTGTGCACGTGAACAAGTAGTTCCCTCTCCCCTGGTCCTTTTTTTCCCCATATAAGTGGCAGAAGTGGCCAAAAGAGCGCATGAGAAAAAAGCGCAGCGCTGTCCGGGATGATTGCCCTCCAAAGAAGCACTGGCACTGAAGCCACTTTCTGTGTTTCAGCAGCCAGAAGCTCGCTCAGCAATCAAAGGTCCTCACCTAGACCTAGACCCTTTTGAACACAGAACCCTACACCCCGAAGATTTTTTCACCCCTTAAGACCGCCAACCCTGCAAACACCACCCTGGGGCAGCCCAAAAACCCATATCACAGTAAGCGCACCCTTCGAACCAAAGCAAAGTACCACTGGGCACCAAACCCTAAACTTTAAACCTAAACCCTAAACCCTAAACCCAGAATGCAGTCACATGCCCAAGACGCATCTTTGCCCGGGCAGCTGCGCAGTGGCCGATACACCTTCTTTGCCGGTGGGGACACTCAGCCTTGGGTTTGGTGTGGGGTTTGGGGTTTCGACTCTCACACTCGCACAAGGCTGGCAAGGCATCGGTTTGGGGCTTAGGGTTTAGAGGGTTTTGGGGTTTGGGCTTACTAAACCAAACAACATGTCGGCCCAGAGGCCATGTGGCCGACAGTGCCATCCGCCACCTGCCAGGCGGGCTTCTTAAAGAGCCCTCCACTTTAAACTTTAAATTAAACCCTATGAACCCAAACCTAAACAGAGAACCCCACATCGGTTTAGGGTTTAGGGCCTTTTGACACAGGGAGCCATGGAAAGGTTGGGTTGCTCAGTTTATAAGGAACTTAAGTCCAAAGTTCTATAATGCGGATACAGATAGTAAATGAATACTATGTTTCCTGATTCTGGTATCTTAAAAAATATCCTCCTTCACAGAAACCCAGCCAAGTTCTGCAGGAGACCCTTGTTGCAATCACGGGGCCCACGCCAAACCTCTGAACCCCAAGCCCTTAACTTAGTAGCCTAGGAACCATGTCATAATGAGGGTTTCAGGTTTAGGGTAACCATATTATGATGAGGGAAAAGCTCAGTAGGGTTACAAGTAGGCATTTTGGGGCCCTTAACAGGGTCTTCACGGCAATTACCCTACTCAGAACCCTACATATCAGTACCTATGAACCTCCGAGTACCTCAAAACTCACCCAACCAATTCCCTTTCAGGAGCCCTCAACGAAAAAAGCAGTAAGCCCTCAAGATTCTGAGGACCTATGCTGGGTGACCCTGCACTCCAAGCCCTATAAGTAACCAAGTCAACCTTCAAGTAGCCCTAAACCCTAAACCCTAAACCCTAAACTTATAAGTACCCCAAGTGAACCTTCAAGTAGGGGGTTTCGGGATTCCTGAGCCCCAGCCTTGGTTCCGCAGCCATCTCGACACACGAGCTGCAAGGTCCTTGCACCCCGATATCTGGGAGGATCCGAAAAGGTAGAACTTGGGGTTTAGGGTTCAGGGTTCAGGGTTCAGGGTTTAGGGTTTAGGGTTTAGGGTTCAGGGTTTAGTACCCTATACTACTACCCGGTCATTCTTAGGAACCCTCAAAGGATCTACTTTTTGGATCCTCCCTGGGGTCTGGGCAAGGAGAGCTGGGAATGCGGGCGTTGCGCGAGCACTCAGGAGATGTAGGGTTTGGGGGGGGCTCGTGGTGTAGGGGTTTAAGAGGACCCCTAGACTCTAACCCTGACCCTAAGCCCTAAACATCCATCAGCCCTAAATCTTATGTATTCCGCGCACGGAGGGCCTCCGAGTTTGGGCTTGGGGACCACATGAACCCTGAGTGGGCTTCTGATAGTAATAGGGTTGTATTCCGACTTTTCGGGTTTGGGGTTCATACACCTTCATGGGAGTTATGGTCGTGTGGTTCATTCGGCCACAGGAGAAGGCGCCCCTCTCCGCAACGTGGGGAGCCGTTCTCCTCTGCTTCCCGGACAGCGGCTGTTGCGGGCCGGCAGGCCCCGACACCTCCTTTGCCACAGGCTAAACGCGTTTGTTCGCGGTCTGCAAGAAAGCTGGGGCCTTAAGACTTTTCCCTATCCTTCCAGGCACCTATTTCTGGGGGTTTTAGCGGCTCTAGTAACCTAAATATTAGGTCCCGGGAAGGATGGGGTTTTTAGTCCGGTTAGAGAAACAATGTGTTTTTGCACTAACGGTCTGAACCTCCCTCATAGGACTCGGAAAGCTTTCAATTTTGCTACAGGCAAAGCATCCTGGATATCAGCCACACTCTCCTACGGAAGAACTTGCACTCTCCACTTCGGGGCGGGGAGGGGGGGTGGCGCCAATCGAACTTCAACACGCCTTGCCCAGACGCCAGTCTCCGGAAACTTAAGTAAAGTCCCAAAAAGCCTTCAAGTGAACATTATACACTAAACCCCCATCCCGAAATCGGCGCATATTGAACTTCTGTACCCACAGAGACAACCCTGCAAAAATGCTCATGAACCCTAAAGTTGGGGTCATATACCCTATACTCTGATGATTGCTATAAAGGTATATGAACCATCCCCAGACCCTAAACCTTAAACCCAAAATACCCGCTATATACTCCTATGATTCCTACAAAGGTATATGAACCATAACAACCCGAACCCCAAACCCTAAACCCTAAACCCGATGCCAGGCCACCAGCATGGTGGCGCCGTCCACGGCCACGGCGCAGCTGCCGGCCGCGCCAGTGCCCGTCCGCCGCAGGGAGAGAAGCGCGAGCTGGCCTGCCTCTCTTGCTTGGAGGTTCATGGGTACGGATAACCAAGTATACGTGGTATAGGGTTTAGGGTTTTTTTTCGCTCCCGCATAGCTGGCCGAACCGCAGGCAGGGTTGATGATTGGTGCGACTCTGGAAAAACTGATCTACCCATCTCAGGTCATCTGGACCTCGACCATGAAAATCTGTATCACTACAGGGTGGGGCCCCCTTACTATACTAACTGTAGTTAAGGGACTTATAACCTAACTTAGGGTCCTTATAACCCAATTTAGGGCCCTTATAACTCTACTTATAACTAGGGGGCCCCACCCTGTATGTCCACGGGATCTAAGTAACCCGCGGGATCCTCCTTCTTTACTTTTTCTTTCATCAGCAGCAGAGAGATCCAGACGTTTAGGGTTTAGGGTTTGGGGTTTAGGGTTAGAACCCCAATTACAAGTCGGGTCTGATCTTACCCCGTAGACCCTTAACACACCGACACCCTTGTGTTGCATCCAGGCCGCTTCGAACACTGCAGCGCTAAATCCCTGAACCTACCCCTTTTACAACAGGCCTCTGAACCTACCCCTAAACCCTAAACCCTAAAACCTAAAACCTAAAACCCAAAACGCTGAACCCTACTCTAGACAGGGGGGTTTAGCGATGGTTCAGCGTAGCCTACTAGCTTGCGTGTAGGGTTGGGGGTTGGCAGGTTAAAGTCAAGAATGCTGCGCAGCAAGCGTCCAGGAACACACGGTTCCCTGAGAGGTTTCAGACTTGCCTCAAGAACACCCCGGTTGCTAAACCCTTGATCGCAACTTAGCACAATATAATGGGACCCCCCAAACCCTAAACTCTTCTCTCTGAAAGCCCTAAACCCCGGGCCCCAACCCCTAGCCCCTATAACCAAACACTTTTTCCAGTCTCATAACGAAACCCTTAACCCTGAACCCAGAACCTAAACCCCAAAAAAATCGTTGGTTGGGGTTGTGGTCGGCACCTGCAGGCAGGGCGGCGACGCATTCTTCTCCAGGTCCTGCTTTAAGCCTGGGGGGGGGGGGGGGGGGGGGCGGGGGGGGTACTTACAGCATTGAGGGTTAGGGCTGAGTTCTTGTTAAACTCATATGTACATGTACACAGACATTTGCATTTATGACTTTCTCTTTTCTTATTTGTACACTTGCAAGATATGTATACACACATATGCATGCACATATGCATATGTGGTGTGATAAGATTGTTTGAGAGTTTGAGGTTCCAAACTCGACAGCTTCTTCGACATTGTGGAGATCACCCGCCCTATACGGAGAAGGGGGGTTCGAAAATTGGGTGCTTTCCTTTTCTTTTGCTCCTTTGGGGGGAGGGGGGGGTCTCATTATATGTAAGGCGCACTCCCTATTTTCGGAAAGCCCATATGCCAACCATGAACAACAAAGCGCATGTTCACTCCACCCCCCCCCCCCCCCGCCTTAATCAGGGAATATGTTTGAAACTCATGATGAGAAACCCTATGTCCCTCTTGGGCAACGGACTTTGGAGGCTGCCGGCAAACATGCAAACGCCCCTAAACCCTAAACCCTAAACCCTAAACCCTAAACCCCAAACCCTAAACCCTAAACCCTAAACCCTAAATTCGAATTCCAAGCTCTGCGCTCCTGAAAAGCATCGCAATGGCACGCCAGGGACCCAATCTCCTACCCCCAAGGTGATACCTGTAAAGGGCTTAAGGTTTTAGGGTTTAGGATGTTAGGGTTCAGGAGATTGATATACCTAGGTAAATGCGTAGATAGACGTACACACATATATATATATATATCCATATGTTTACATAGAAATACACAGGGGTTGTTCTAAAGGTCCGTTGAAGGCCATGCGGGCCATGGAGGTCAAGCCTCTCTTAGAGACATGTCCTAATTAACGTGATCTGCAAAACGGGTCCCCAACCCTAAACCCAAACCCTATAAACAAACCCAAGGGCAGGGTTTAGGGTGTTAGGGTGTTAGGGTGTTAGGGTGTTAGGGTGTTAGGGTGTTAGGGTGTTAGGGTGTTAGGGTGTTAGGGTGTTAGGGTGTTAGGGTTCAGGGTTTGCACAGAATGGAAGAAAAAATGGGCCTGTCTGGTTCGAGGTTTGTTGTTTGTTGAATTGTTGCCACCCGGCTAGCCACAGCGGGTTTAGGGTTTCGGGTTCAGGGTTTAGGGGTTTATAGCGTTCATGGGATCATGACAGGTCCAAACTCCCGCCTGGACGCCCTATAGACAACAGAAAAGAGGATTCCACAACTCAAAACCTCTGGAAAAGACCCATGGAGTTTCGGACGCCCCAGACGTCTAGGCTACAGGGTTTCGACTCGTCTTTTGGTTTGGAGATCTGTAATTAGCTTGTCCGGTTCATAGGGTTCATAGTACATTTTGAGGCTTCATAGGGCTTACAGGGTTCTCAAATTTTTTTTATAGAATGTTGTGAGCATTTATCGCCACAGGTTCCATCGAACATGTTGATAGCACAGGGCTCAAGAGTTTGTTTTGTAGACTAAGACTAGGGTTTGGCGGAGGGGTAAGGGCCTTTTTTTCTCTCCGACCCTGGCAAGCGTTCTTCGCGCGCCTCAGGTGGCAAGTCCTTGTGCAGAGCTGTGGGTGAGAAGGGGGGTCGGGGGCAGGGCAGTAATTTACTGGCAGTAGTTCAACCAACGCATAGTTCAACTTCATACATAGTATAATCGCAAAAGAGTGTCTTCTTTCCGGCGCCTTATAAGCGCGATGGGCAAGTGGTAGAGGACAAGTCGGGCAAGGACCCTTGTGAACTTCTGCTTCTAGAAGGCTTCAGCGTTCAGATTCTCAGTTCCTATGCAGGGGGGGGGGTACCTTTTTGGGGTCCTTATTGCAAGAGAATCTTATATTTTGGGGGTCTATCTTGGGGGCCCCTTATTCTCGTAAACCCTCATACAGCTTCGGCAGCAGAAGCTAGGACGCAGCAAGAGCCAGTACCCGTGGGCACAGTCTCTCGGGTTCAGTTGGCAGTAACACACGTCTAGGACAACGCGAAATGCGAAACCCTAAGCCCTAGATCCTAAACCCTAAACCCTAAACCTAAATCCTAAACCCTAGTCCAGACCCACCTTTGTCTACGGAGCCCTGACCCCGACAGGGAACCTCCTTTTGGCAGGTCGTCGTTGTATCCACCCGAACACCTGCTGAATCACATACTTTTTGTAGGGATTAGGCTTTTGGATTTAGGGTCAGCTGCCTAATCACCATGCAGTTGTTGCCACCCGCCAAGCTCATGAACCCAGGGAAAGTTCAGGGTTTAGGTCACAGACATATGGGAACGACGTGCCTAGGTGAGGTTAAACGCGGCCGGAATGTCATTCCTACACACCCTACTTGAAGATTTCACGCGTACTACAAGTAGGAAGTAGGGTAAGTACGTTCCCTAGTAAGGTTGCAACCATAGTTACCCTAATAAGCACCCATGAACCTCCAAGCGCAAGCCCGCTCATAAAGCGTATGAACCCCACGAACCGGAAACCCTGAGGCGTGTGAGGAGCAGCTCCGGGTTTTTTTGGGGATTTCCGGGTTCGAATTAGGATTCCGGGCCCCGAAACCCTAAACCCTAAACCCTAAACTTTAGGGTCTTTCTGGGGCTCAGGGGTGTCGATGTTTAACTGTTTCTTGGCCACCAGTTTGAGCCTGGGAGCGGTCTGGGCGGTCGCCGAGGACCTCCGGGAAGCCCCTCCTCGGCACTGGGCACAAGGGTGACCAGCCCCTAAACTCTAAAGTAAAAAACCCTAAACCCTAAACCCTAAACATTCAGAATCCTCGAGGTCACCCCAAACCTGAAACCCTAAGCCTTAAACCCTAAACCTTAAACCCTAAACCTCAAACCTCAAGGGGCTATAGGGCCTCATAGCCCATCCTGGTGAAAAACTATCGACCATTCCACGCCGAGGCTCGCCGGAGCTCGCTCCTTTGAGTCGCAGGGTGAAGCCCTGGGGCTTGGGTTTAGGGTTTTGGATTTAGGGTTTTTGGATTTAGGGTTTAGGGTTCAGGATTCAGGGTTTAGAGTTTAGGGTTTAGGGTTTCGGGTTAAGTTACTCACATGGGGGTTTCCCAAATTCTGGGTACCTTAGTGGGGTCCTTATTATAAGCGGATCCTACAACTTGGGGTCTATATTAAGGGTCCCTTATTGTCGTCATTCCTCGTTCTGCCTCAATCGGCAAATTTCAGGGGTGCTGTTTAGAAGCCCGTAACCCTAAACCTTAGTTGCTGAATTCATAAGCATCCAACAAGTGTACACTTTCAGTTCTGTAGGGATTCTAGTATCCCCAAAGGTGTAAAGTGTACTCATTCAGATACTAGGAAACTCTAAACCCAGAAACCTGAAGGCCGCTGTACAACTGTAAACCCTAAACCCTAAACGCCTATAGGAAGCTCCTGAGAGGCCTTACAAATCGAATATGCGTTCCACAGCGTGAAATATAAGGAGCCAGCTTTCTTTTCGTTCAGGGCTTAGGGTTTATAGGGTATAGGGTTTAGGGTATAAGTAGGGTGAAGCGTTGAAGGGTTTACAGAGGTTTAGGGTTAAGTTTTAAGGCTTCATGGAGCTGAAACAATCCACGGCGCAGAGCCCCGCAGCACTCGACCTCTGCCTGGCGGAACTGAACACACGGCTCGTAGCTTGAAAAAGGGCTTGGGTTTAGGGCTTAGGCGGCTTACAATGCCCGTCAACCCTACACCCTAAACCCTCCACCCCAAACCCTTTTTGAACCCAGACTCTGTAAGTCAGCCCTAAACCCTAAACTTTAAACCCTATAAACCCTAAACCCCAAAACCTGCGTCCCCTCTCGTGATGCTCAACCTGCTGAGCCGAGATGCGCACAAGCGGCTTGCCGGAAAGCGCTTGCTTCACCTGCGTTCTCAAGTGTATGCAATAAGCATCCCACGTGCGTTTAGAAGGTATACCTGGGACTCTCTTTACCTACAGTTTAGTGTGTGACACCTACGGGTCCAGGGGTAGATACTGCCAATCCGCAGGCAACCCTAGTCCCAGGTATTCCTTGATTAAGGGGTAATTGGTATTGGGGCCTTCTTTGGGTGCTCCCCGGCCCGTCCCGGTAATTGCACGCAAGTGCTGAGAGTTTTGGACTCAATAGCCCAGAGCCATCTTGGCCCCGGCGAAAGACGTTTTACGGGTATAAGGAGGGACCCCAAGAAGGGATCCTTAATCTTATTCCCTATACAACCCATATATATATATAAATATACATATATATATATATGTCTATGTACCTTATATCCCTAAACCCTACACGAACTACCAAAACGGACCTGTCCCGGCGACGCGCCCGGACACCTCAATGCAGCTGCTTGGAGATCCTCTTCAAAGGGGTCTTTGCAACTCCAAGAGAGAGAATGAACCCGTTGTGCCTTGAAAGGGGTCCGAACAACTCAGGCGAACCAGCATGAAACAAAAAGCCAACCGATGAATCTACGTGGGCAAAAACAAAACACCAGAAACCAAACCCTCTGCAGAAACCAGGTTCCATGCCACTTACCTTCGAAGTCTACCACCCGCATGCGCCGACAACACATCCCAAAAAGTTTTTGGGATGTTCCCCCTTATACTAACAGTCCTTACTAGTAAGGATTATAATAGAGGGTACTATCCCACACCCTCAACCCTAAACCCCAAGCCCAAAACCCCTTTCAGTATAAGGGGGAACATCCCAATGTCGCACACACATGGCACGCAACAAGTACCCATGAACCTTCAAACAAGGGCACTGGGGAGGGAATGCTTGAGCCAGATGAGGGGGTTTAGGGTTTAAGGTTTAGAGTTTAGGGCTTAGGGCTTAGGGTTTAGGGTTTCTGCTGCATGATAGGGTTTCGGGTTTAGGGTTTGGGGTTTAGAGGCCCCCCAAGGGTCGCAACCTTTCGGGGTCTCCTCGTCCTCGCGCAATTCAGGAGGCGCGAAGGAAAGAAGGCGCCAATTCCTGCACCCAGAGTTCCCTTGAAAGAGGGTTTCAAAAGTAACCCTAAACCCTAAATCCTAAACCCTAAACCCTAAATCCTGCACTTATAAGGTCTACCTCAAGATACCGGGTTTATGGCGGTCTACCTTCAGACCCCCAAAACTTGTTTGTTTTGTAGGTTGCCTAAGATCCTGCACAAGGGGCTTTCAACTAAGAGCCTACAAAAAAAAGTAGGTTTCGGGTTCTTATAATTACTAAAGAAGGGTTTAAGGTTGCGGGCTAAGGATCGCCTCTGGCGCCAGAGTACAGAACTACCCGACAAAATGTGCCAGAGTCAAATAAAGGCCAATCCTCCAAGCCCCTAAGCCCGTTTTTCAACCCAGAACTGCCCCAAACCCTAAACCCCAAACCCCAAACCCTAAACCCCAAACCCTAAACCCTAAACCCTATAAGCCCTAAGCCCTAAACCCTAAGAAGCGTCAGCAGGAATTGGGGGACTGAACCGTGCCTTGAAAACCCGAAACCCTTTGTAGGTTCTTAGTCATCGCCCCTTGTCGGATTCGTAGGTCATGTTTTCGGGTTTGGGGTCTGGGGTTTGGGGTATCGGGTTTAGGGTTTGGGGTGAGGGTCTCGGGGCGCCATGGCCAGATTCTGCCCTTTTTGTACCGGGGCGTGTAACATGGAATAGGGGGGGGGGGGCTGAATTTATAAAGGGTTCCCTAAACCCTAAACCCTATTTAGGGTTTGAAGTCCAGGCTTTTCTTACCGGGCAGGGCCTCGAGCGTGCATGACCAGGTGCTTTGCGTTGTGCAAAGGACCACGGCCCAGGGCCACAAAGCCCAAAGGCAAGTAATGTAGGGGCCTGAATAATTAGAATACGGTTTTGGGGGTTTCTTGTAGTATAATGACAAAGGGACGATAAGGGAATATCATTAGACATTCTTCCGACCCCTACATTAGCATGATTGCGCTGGCAGGCACGTTGCGCCGACAGCGAAAACAGATGCCACGTGCGTTGAATGCGTGTGCTGTCATTTCGCCAAGAGACCTGCCGCTCTAGTGTCAGCGAGGTTGCCAAACCACCATACATTCCTAAACCCTGTACGACAAGTAGCGACAGCACAAACATTCAGCGAATTCTGGACGCGTGGCCGCAGGCAATTTGGCCAGACAAGGACAGGGAAATGCTAATAAGCCCCCTAAGTCCCCTAAGTAGGTTATAAGCCAACTTATACTTTGAGGTTTAAGTAAATTTAAGTACCCATGAACCTCCAAGTATGCCAGAACAACACAGTGCTTTTGCAAGCACATGTATGCTTTGACTGCAGCTCCGCATAAAACAAATCCATCTAACAAATCCATCTAAATTCGGCCTTTGTGTGGCCTCACAATCCTGCATTGCTCAGGGCTACACTTCCTGCCTCAAGGGACAAAGGAGGTACCCTTATCAGGGACCTTAGGGGTTATTGGGGGGCTATGTCGCGGCTACTTAGGTATTTAGAGACTCTATAAGGTGTATATATATATATGCACATATATATATAGGGGTTCTAAAGGGGAATAAGATTCAGGATCCCCTTTCTCGAAGTCCCTCCTTATATCCCTGAAGCCTCGGGCTTTCCGGGGGGCAGCAGCCCGCCCCCTGGGTCTCAGTCCAGCTGGAAGGCTTCGCAGGCGAAGAGCATGGGTCTGAAGAAGTCGTTCCTTGGTAGCCCAGTAACGATATATTACAATAAAGGGCACCCTTTTTTGGGAGGGAACCCCAGTAACCATATATTACAATAAGGGCACCCTTTTTTGGGGGGTTGGCTATTTTTTAAGAGGAAACCCCAGTAACCATATATTACAATAAAGGGCACCCTTTTTTGGGGGGTTGGCTATTTTATATAAGGGAACCCCAGTAATCATATTACAATAAGGGCACCTTTTTTTGGGGGGTTGGCTATTTTGTAAGGGAACCCAGAACCCAGAACCCAAAAACAAAAAAAAGTAAAGGGTACCACGGGGCTGCCAAGGTTCTTGATGCGGCGGGGCGACTTGTCGAGGTACTTGGCGACGTTCGCCTGGTAGCCCTGCATCACCGCAAGGTTCACCTCCTCGGACACTTAAACAACCTAGAAGACCTAACGGTTCACATACCCTAAACCCTAAACCCTAAACCCTAAACCCTTTGGTGAGGACTAAGAGATCGAATCGGGCACAACGGCGTGATGATCGTGGTGTGCAGGGAAATACTGAAATTGCACACCTGGATCTTGGTTTCCTTCCAAGGTGCATGCTTCAGGGTGTATACTCAGTTGCTGCGTTCAGAAGCCCCCAAGAAGTGTACACTTTCAGTTCTATAGGGGATTCTGGTATCCCAAAAAGTGTCAAGTGTGCTCACTCAGCTACTAGCAAATCTCGTTTCCGGGTTGAGGGTTACAAAAAGCGTTTTGTTTTAATAGGCTCAGGGTTGGTCAGTTTTATGGCAAGCTCTACCTGGGACCCTATTCATCTACAGCTTCGTAGCAGCTATAGCCCCTGAATTCGTAGGCAGAAGCCATAAGACTGTACGTAAAGAGTGTCCCAGGTAGAGGTTTAGGGTCCATGTAACCCTAAACCCTAAACCCTAAACCCTAAACCCTAAACCCTAAACCCTAAACCCTAAACCCTAAACCCCAAAGAGTTTTTAGGGTCCGAGGCGCCAAGATCTTCTTCGAGTCGTAGAGTCGCAGCTGCTGCTCGTGGAAGGCCAGAGCAAACTCGCGCGCCGCCCGGCCAGAGCTGAAGTTGATGAAAGCCTTAGCCCTAAACCCTATGAACCCTACAAACCCTAAACCCTATAAACCCTATAAACCCTATAAACCCTATAAACCCTATAAACCCTATAAACCCTATAAACCCCATAAACCCTATAAAGCCCATAAACCCTATAAACCCTAAACCCTAAACCAAACAAGCTCATGATAGGGAGCCTTATGCGATCCTAGCCAGCACAGGGGGAAAAAGAGGGGAATTCAGGATACTCTATTGAGCATCCTCGGAGCATACCCGCGATTTCGCTTTGTGTGGAAGTCCATGGGAAGGTAGAAGAAATCCTGGGTTGCTGGGTGACTCTGACATTCCTCAAAAGCAAAAAACTCTTAAACAGCAATATCAGGAAGAATGTAAACCCTAAACCCTAAGCCCTAAATAGTGAGCCCTAAATATCCCCAAAGTTCGACCTAGAATCGAACATCTGGTCGAACCCGGCCATCATCACCTCCTTCAACAGCTCCTCACCTATACTCCCCTTTAGAACCTTAATAAACATGTTGAATGCAAACGCAGCTTTTCCAGCCACGCCAGAGTCGTTTTGTGGTGGTGACCACCACTGTTGGCCCCACGCTGGCCTAAGGCCAAGTGGGGCGAAGGAAATGCCATCAGCCGAGCTGTGCACAGCACTGTAGCCTGCAAGCTCCTAGCAGTCACCAGGGCTTTTCTTTAGGCTTTTACTGTACCAACAGCCTGCACAAACAGATCAAAAAGGCGAGGATTGAGTCATGGCTGAAAGATGGCATCCTTTCCTTCTTCCGCCCCGGCCGGAACTGAATCCACCGGGTTGGGTAGGGTGGGAGCCTCAAATCTAACATACAACGGCCTTGCTTCAAGCTGGCAGTGCTTACAACATGCTTGCTGCTACACTCGCCCGTTACACATACTTCCATGTTGAATGCAAACGCAGCTTTTCCAGCCACGCCAGAGTCGTTTTGTGGTGGTGACCACCACTGTTGGCCCCACGCTGGCCTAAGGCCAAGTGGGGCGAAGGAAATGCCATCAGCCGAGCTGTGCACAGCACTGTAGCCTGCAAGCTCCTAGCAGTCACCAGGGCTTTTCTTTAGGCTTTTACTGTACCAACAGCCTGCACAAACAGATCAAAAAGGCGAGGATTGAGTCATGGCTGAAAGATGGCATCCTTCACTTTTCCAAACTGGCCAAGGGCCGTCAAGATTTCAACCTAGCATGCATCATGCGCGCTAGGTGGCGTTGCTCTGGTGTCAGAGACAGGTGGCTAACAGCTGCTGCTGCATCCTGGAGGTAGATCCTGGCCGTGCTGGTGCTGGCCCAACGTCCACGCAGAAGCGTGCGCTCCATACTAGAGTGGCGAAGAAAGTCCCATGTGGCACCCCCTCGGCGCAAAGAGTAAACATTCATCAAACCTTCCACTTCAAAGAACGCGACTAACGCATGAAATAGCTTGCGAAAGAAGGTCTGACCCCTTTCAAGCAGCAAGGCGTGTTTGGGTCTCGAGAAACATGCCTTCTTAAGCCACTTGCAAGCGATGCTGGACTCGAGCACCACCATCTCAGAGTGCCCGGTGCGTTTGCCTGCCTTGCTTTGCCCAAGATTAAGTACGGCTCCACGTCGAAGGAATTGTACGTCAGCTATTCGAAGGTTATACAGCTCGCCTGACCGGAGCATTGCATCGAACGCCACAAGCAGTCCAGCAGCTTCCTCCGAAAAGCCCATCGCGACAGCAGCGCCTGCAAAGCCCAGCACCAATAAAGGGCTGATCGGTAGCACCCTAAGTGGTGGTTCCAGTCGTTGCCAGACTTTTGCAAGTTTCCATGAGTGCTTGAGCTTCCCCACAGCTTGCGGGATGAAAAACTGGACCCCGGCCAGAGCATCACTTACGAGGGATTTGTGCTCACCCTCGGAGTAAGCGTACTCAACCCAAGCGCTAACAGCCGTATCCAAATCACTCCAGGCCGGCACTTGAATGCTTGAGTTCACCAAGAAACTCAACACCACCAATGCTGCTTTTTGGTAGCGATGCCTCATCCCAGCTGTGACCATTTGGTCTTTCAAAGTCGTGCCCGTCCGCTGCTGCTTCCGGCGCTGCTTTTCCGTTGGCCCAATCTTTGTTCGGCCCATCGCGAGGGAATATCGGAAGGATTGGAGTCTGTACTCACATAGCCCACAATCAGAATGAGACCTGAAGCTAGAAGCAGGCAGTTCAACTTCGACAGCCCTTTCCTGAGCCTGAAGCTGCTTGTCCGCCC